CACCTGCTCACCAAGGATACACGTATTCTCATAAAATTCGAATCCAAAGGCAAGGCATTACACATAATTTTCCAACCAATTAATTGAGCACTAGGAGCAGTAACAGTCTTCCAAATAAGCCTAGCCAGCTCACCCCCCGGTTCCTACTCAAATGCCAAGCTGTTCTGACAGCAAAAAGCCCAGAGTTAGTCTCTTGCCAAATTAATTTATTCTCCAGATCTGACAGAACAATAAGAATGATATATGGGTTGATGACTCAAATGCCAAGCTGGTTCTTTTAATGTAGTGGTGTTTGATGATGTTGAAAATTTTGGAGTAGATTAAATTAAGGACATTTATGTAGCTTGGAGTTGGGATGGTTGATAAATTGGTACATGAAGGGAGGATTGAGGTGTGATAGTTGTGGCATCATATTTGTGTCCCTTTTTATTGCACTAAAGTCATGACATTAAAAATTATCAACGGGTTTTTAACTTAATGAATGTTTTTATTCATTATTTAATTATTTCGTGTTTAAGAACTAGGTACAATGTCTTCAGATACGTGATATAGGACGAGTTTAGGTTTTCAGTTTAGTACATGTTCGAGTTCAGCGCTTGATTATTTCGCGTTTAAATTCAATGTTAGATTTTTTTTTAGTTGTACCGTACCTTCAGGTACGGGTTATTCCTAGTATATGGATATAGATAGATATGAGAGAGAGAATTTTAATATTAATCAAACTCCTAAAATTTAGGAGTTGTTAATTTTTAAATTTGTTTTAATTAAACATAATTACTGCAAGTATTTTGGACAGTAGAGAACAAAATAGACTTAATATTAAATAAGTTACTTTGATGGGCTTATCACCAAATAAGTCCACAACAGGAGACCGACCTCTAAAATTTTCAATTTTATTTGACAATTAATTTCAAAAGAATGGGTCGATTAAAAGATATCAATTAAATGTGTACATTTGGAATTATAGGTTCAATTTAATATATGTAAATTTATATGTATAAAGCTTAACTTCATTTTATTGTTAAGATAGAATTGGGGCGTGATATTAAATTTGATAATGAGTTTTGTCGTATTTTTTTTAAATTCATTTATTTTTTAGTCATTCAATAAATTATGTACACAAGTTGATATTTTTTGTATTATGTTTTTAAATTAAAATCTATCAATTTTTTTTGGGTCTAGATTGATTTAAAATTGCGTAATTACTTCCAAACATTGGTATGCTATTAAAAATATTTATATTACATGATTAATGCTCGATTTTGTGTTGCACAATATCTTCGGCCATGAATTTTGTCAATTTTAAAAAAAAAGTGATTGTCATAATTTAATATTTGATGTAGTAGACTCGATTCTTTGAGATACTCTATTTTTTATATTGTACTGTGCCTTTAGGCATAAGTTATTACTAATCTATATATATATCTTAATACATAATGATATAGTTATAAGTTTGGAGACGTGTCTTGAAAAGAAAGGGCAAATTTAGATCAGGGAAAAGCAAAAATACCATACCCATGATATTTTTATATTCGTGGATAAAATTCACTTTATACTCAGATCGATCTTAAATTTTTTTATTCACACCTGAAAAGATTAAACTTATTATATTACACTCTCAATCAGATTAAAAGGTATTAATGTAATTTGTTTTAATAAAATTGAAGAGAACATTTTCATGTAAAATACTTAAAAGTGAGTGATATAAAATTAATTAAGCACAGAAATAGAAAAATTTTAAAAATTCAGAAAAAGCAACAAACATGTGATTTTGGAATACATTGTTACTTTTTTATCTGAATGAGGGTATTATATAAGAATTGTAATCTTGCAGGGTGCGAATTGAGAATTTGAGTATCTTTTAAACAGTAAAGTGTCATTCACCTTATATTTTTTAATAAATTTAGATTTCGGAAAATTGTGAGCGGGTATCTTATGAACTGTTTATTTGTGAGAAAATACCTTGAAAAAATGTATTATTGATAATTACTATTAGGTGAAAATGTATTGTGTCTAAATACACAATGACAGTTTTTTTTATTTTTTTTTTACTGAAATACTTTTTTCTATAATTCATGGACTGTGTAATTTGGTAGTTCTTTTTTCCATTGGATTTGGTTTTATTAATTCAATGGTTTCCTATTTTAGAAGATCTTTATTTTTTGAATTTTAAACGTATTCTTCTTCACCATCAACGACCTCTGATTCAATAAAAAAACCAACATTGGTGCTCCTCTTCTTCAACAGATTCTTATATTTCAACTTTGGATGATCGTTTTTTACTTCGACGTTTGCAGTTTTCCATCCATAAGCTGCACAATATTTCTTTTTCGTCAACGTCTTTTTTATTTTTTTTAACTCATAGGTAATTTTTTTTCTACTTTAAAAACTTGTCAACACTACTATTTTTTATTTTTAAAATGGGTAGAATATAACGTCATGTCAGCGACTTGTAAAATTCTATGCTTCAAATTAATAGATTTATGATTAGTGTTTAATTTAATTTTGTTTTATTTTTTTGGAAGACACTGTGATTGCTGTTAAAGACAACAGTAAATGATTATCACACTTTGTCAAACTTTTTTATACCCAATTATGGTTGTTGCACTGTCTTGTTATATTGTTATGTGGCACCGTCATTCCTAAAACCATTATATGTGTTTGTTGAACAGTAGATATCACGTTGTGATGTTAAATTGTGTAAAATATATCATTTAGATTGTGTATGAATCAGGAAATTCAATTGCACATCTTTTGTCAGTTATTAAAATGTTAATGAAGTGGTTACACAATGATGTATCACTGTTATATCGGCGATTATAGCTAAAAAAATCGATGGTTGGACTTCAATGATACTTTAACATATGTACAATCAATACACAAGCAAAAGATTTTTTGATTCTAATAATTTTCGATTGTTTGTGTCTTTGATTTGGTTGAAATTTCATGAATCTGATGACATTTTTTGTTTGAATTTCAAACACCCTATTTCGTGGGATATCATTGTGGTCAGATTTCTTGGGTATGCTACTTGAGATCTAGCGGTTTCCAAACCAGGAGATGGCGTTGATTAGTTTTTATCAGGACTATGTTTGGCATTTACAAATAAGAAGGAGTTCTATACAAATAATTTTACTGTTGGTGCAGTAAATTATCCATAAATGTGATAAATTTTTTTGTTATAAAATAATTTATAAAAATTGTCAAAAAATACCTCATTAAAATAGTAAATTTTGAAGGTATAATACTAAACTTTTTTTTGTCTGTACTGTAGTTAAATCCTCTATCTACAAGGGGTCGAGTACAACTTCAAAAACTGAGAAATTATAAAAGAATCAGATTGGGAAAAGTGGGGGGGGGGGGGGTCCAATAAACAATTTTTACAGCATACACTGGAAATAACAAGGAAAAAACATTTTGGGTTCCATCTATTACGTACTTTGGTCAACATTGACTTTTTGTAGAGCAACTGCAATATAGGTTATTTATTTTCAATGAATTATCTTTTATAAACTCTTTGTTGAACAATTTAATGAATAAAAAATCATCGCAATATAATGCTCATGAAGAGGTCTTTGGATTTCAAGTCTATAATGTGAAAGAGAAATTTTAGCTAGATCTAATTTACAAACCTAATTCACTGTAGATCAATGACAAGTTTCAATGTTAAAAAAGAGTCTATTGTCGATCGAACAATTGTAATGAATTTGGTCAGTAAATTGAGTCAATAAAGTATGTTTGAATTGCATCATTCAATGTGAAAAGAAAAAATTAATGAAAGAAAACCATTTTGCTCCTCAACTCGTCGAGGAATACATTTCGGCTATAAAAATTTGATTTAATTTGTTAATTTATGAATGAATTAAGTTCAACAAAGAATTCGAACGACGACAGTTACAATATTGCTATTGGACCATGTCTAGGGGAGAAGCCAAGTTTCAACCTTAAAGCATCTCCAATAAGGTTTTGTATTTTAATTATCCAAAAGTACATTTATTTTAGTTTAGCTACTCACTTTTTTAATATCCACTCTAACAAATTTTCTATATATTAACTACTTTTTTAAATATTATATATTTCACATATTTTGTACTTTTGTTGGGATTATTGGAGGGAGAGAGAGAATAGAGGGAAAGATAGAGAATGAACAAGAGATGTGAGAAAGAACAAGAATAAAGAGACAAAATTATAAAATATTTAAAGTATCACTTTAATAAAAAACTATTTTAGAACATTTGAAAATATTCTGTTGGAACATGATTTTTATCTTTGGTTAGCTAAATTTTAACTATTTTAGAATTTTAAATGTTCTGTTGGAGATGCTCTTAGAGAGAGCAACACGTGAATAAAAAACATCACTAACTTACGTCAAAACAATTTAGATTTAATCATGAGAAATATAATAAGGTTCAAGACTAAATTTATATGATATAACTTAAAGAGGGGAATTATCTTTTAAAACACGGTAATAGTTACAGTAAAAAGATCAAAGGGGACAAGTGCCCCCTCTGTCAAATGTAACTCGTAGCTTCGCCAATGACCATATCAACTGTCACATTATAAGATTAACAATTTTACGTGAGATTTTTAGGTTTTAATAATATCACTCCGGTTCGTATTTTTTTCTTCTTCAGGGGTTATAAAATTATGCCACCAGAATTATAAATGACATATTATTCTCTGTCTCTCTCTCTCTATTCACAATAACATAGCAAGTGGTCCTGAAAACATACATAGAGCATTAGTGCATCAGAAAATCTCCCATAGAATGGCGACATATAAACAACTACTTTTGTAATAGGAAACAATGATATAAAACAAATCTACACAAACTAATCTAATATAAGCATGCAGTACCTTCACCCTCAAGCTACCATAACAATTTTCCATGCAAACCCTAATTCATTCCAGGAGAGATATGTCTTATTTTCTCAATCATCCAATCAATCCATAGACCTGAATAAGAAGCAAATAACTAATGATAATAGATCGGGCCGCGATCAGTGAGGAGTTCGAGGTGGACCATTATGACCAGCGCCGGGGCTATTTCCGGGCGTTGTCGGCCGGTAAGCTTCTGTCTCCATGTTCTTGTAACGGTTTATTGTAAACCCTCCGGTGGTGGCAGGAGATTTAGGCCTGCTCGGAGTTGGGATAGTTATAGCTGGTGGTAGAACTTTTAGGGCCGGCCGTGATGATTCTATCATGTCAAAGTGATGAAAGAATAGAATCATGCAAAGAGTGAGAGTATAGATTCTGGGACATGAAGCCATGAGAGAGAGAGCGAGAGAGAAAGAGAGTGGTGGAAATGAACAAAAGAAAGGCCTTGTTGAAGAGATGAAAATTGATGATTGGAGTCATAGAGACTCCCAATTTAAGATGATCCTAAAGGTCCCACGCATGGCTTTATATATTGCTTTCAAATAAGAACATAATGAAGATCGATACACGTGGTAGGGTTTTTAAGATTTCAATGTCAGGTAGTTTCTATTGTAATTTTTTGGTAAATTACTGATGGAAATAGCGGGTGATTTATATTCACAAAATCTAAAGTTTAATAGCCGGAACTGTGGATTTACAATGTATAAATCACCCGCTAAGATATATATCAATTTTACTAGGATTAGGTTCAGGTATTTGAGTGGGTTAAGGATTTTCAATTGGTGTTAATAAAAAAAATTGTAAATCTGTTCGGATTCTCGTACAGTGACATAATTGTTCCGGAGGACGGGAATAAATTTTTTGTCGAATCACGTATATTTTTCATAATTATTATTTTTTATTTGACTTGTCATCTCGTTGTTTACCGTGTGCACATTCACAATAATTTCAATCCACCAAGATTAAGCAAACACTTAATGGTATTTTTCCTAAAGTGTAATAAGAAAATGAATGCAGGCAAGAATGAGAATATTTTTACATTGGGACGAGTTGTAATCTCGGACGTTATGAATTTGAATTTTGACAATTATTTAAGGCTAAACAATGAAGGATTTACTCTTCATGAATACTTTAGTTTCGGTGTGAATGATCTATATTTGACTGGATTAAACAAAAAATTAATTAGAGTGCACGTAAATTAACTTAAACATTCATAACCGTTCAACATAAAAAAAAAAAAAAAGAATATTATTATAAGGAGTAAGCATAACATTTATCAGAGTTATCCCAGTAAGCTCAACGAGCTTTTCCCCAACCACCATTAATTGAAATTATTACTGGTTTTGAATGGCTTGATTAGACATCACAAAGAACAATTTGATATGCATTTCTGTTTAGTTTAGTACAAGCTTGAGAGTGACCAAGTCAGCTACAAAGATACATGTATAGAAGCAGCTTGTTATTTTAAGGCAAATGCTTCTTCCACTGAACTTTAATACGGGATTTGATGGTCTTCTTTCCACTTTGACCTTAACTAGATAAAATAATTACGCATCTGTTGTTGGCTCCAACTCAGTGGCATCCACACAGAGAGAGAGAGAGAGAGAGAGAGAGAGTTTGTAGGTTCTATCTTCCATTACTTTTATGCAGTTTTGTCTTCTTACGGATCACTTAAAGTTAGGGGTCTCAATATACTCATAAATGCGATACGAAATTAAAAGATTTGTGTCTTTATTAAGTTATTTGTTTAATAAACAAATGTATTGACACAATTAATTAATAAATTGAGTATGAGTGAAATTAATCAAAAGAAATAGATGATACAACTCGTATATATACTGATTATACATTATTGATATATGATACAAATTTGATATGATACAATTTGTTAGATACGAATTAATAAACAAATTGAGTCTAAGTGAGGTATTTTTTGATATAAACTTGTTAAAACTTGACATAAACCCGTTTTATCCGACATAATTGCATGCCTACTTCAGGTAGGGGTGGTAAATAATTCGAGCTAATTGATGGGGTTCAGTTCGTTTTAAGTTTAACTCAAGTTCATTTACTTAAAAAATAGTCGAATATGAATAATTTTTTAAATTATTTTAAAAAATGAGCCTTATAAGCTTGATTCATTTTGGGCTCGAGCTTTTAAAATTTAGCTCGTTTATATATAAATCAATCAAATTATTTGAACTCGGTTGGTTTTAAACTTAGTTTGAGCTTTTTTTTTAAAGTCAAACTTTAACACATTTTTAGGTTCGTTTTAAAAAACGAATTTGTCAAACTCCAACTTAATCTTGTTGAGCTCGTTTACCGCCCATAAGATTTGCTTTCACTTTAAAATTAGGGCTGTCAAAATTCGATACGATACGATTAATTGATACGAATCGACACAAATTAAGTGAATTTTGGTGAGATCTTAACTGGTCAGAGTGATAAACGGGTTGACATGTCAAACACGTTTAATAAACGGGTCGTATTCGTGTGAGACCTGTCAAACCGTTTATCACACGTTTACCCGTTTAAATAAAATTAATAATTATTTAAAAAAATTAGCAAGAAAAAAAGAAGTAAAAAAATCAATAAAAAAAAGAAGTAAAGTATAGTCAAAGACAAAAGAGAGGAGATAAGGAGCACTTCAAAGACAAAGACAAACCAATATCTTTTGTTTTTGTCCCACATTAGAAAATTAGGGGAAATGAGGAGGATTGAGTTGTCTATAAAAAGCAATGACCTCTTGCTTTTTTTTTTTTAAATTTTCAAATCTTATTTAAAATTAAACGGGTTAAACGAGTGAGTCGTGTTACCCGTTTATTAAACGGGTCGTGTTCGTATTGAGACTTTTTATCTGTTTATTAAATGTGTCGTGTATAAATTTATATATTTTTAACTTGTCACCCATTTAACTCAACATGTTTGACTCTCTCTCGAAAACAATTAAAGTCAACACTCGTTTTTTGTAAAGGAAATCCTCACCTTAAATTCCTCAAACTGCAAAGGATTATTGGCCTGGCCAAAATTGGGCAGAAAAATATTAAAAAACGAAAATGGGTTTTCATGACAAATAAAATATTGCACCATTCTTCACACGATTCCGTTTCACAAGTGGACAAACAAAGACAAACAAAAATAGACTAGAGCAAGGTGAGAGACTTCGTACATTAGTTACCCAAAACTTAGTTCATATATTATGTTAAAGCATTTAATTAAAAATCAATTAATAATAGATATGGTATATGGGTAACCCTTCAAGTATATAGACCAACCTTCGATTTATTTAAATTTTGATTTAGAATACCTTTATTCATAGTTACAAATAGTTAGAAGAATAAACTCTAAAAGATAGTTTAAGTGATAATAATGATGAGCTGTAAATCTAGATATCTTAGGCTCAAATTTTAGTAATTCCTTGAAACCAAGTCATAAGGGAATTATTCTTTATGACTATCCTAATTTTGGCATAAATGATCTGCCTTTGATCAGATAAAAAAAAGAATTAATCTAAATACACGTAAATTAATACAAATACCTTGACGATTGAATTAAAGAGAAACAAATAGTTAGAAGACACTTTCAGAGGTTAAAAATGATTATTATGGGTCCGCGATACAGAAATAGCAATTGATTATTATGGGTCCGAGATCCAGAAATAGCAATTGATTATTATGGTATCTCTCTTCTTCCATTGCTTTTCAAGCCATTTTTACAATCATATCTTAGATAATTTGGGCAGAAACCCCACTAGGATTTGTAGGCCGTGGTGTAGTGTCCCACCAAATATCTACAACCTTGCCCTCCTTGAATTTTGCTTTATTCTTTAGAGGGAGAAGAAAGGAGAATAATATAGTATTCACAATAATTTATTTGCCCTTTATCAGCAGTTTAAGGATCGCAAAGGTCGCACTCCCAAAAAAAAAAAAAATAATAACTTAACATTACGTGACAATAATAACATAATATAATGATTGCATTTAACATTTATTCTCTATTCATGGTCTTGTTTTCAAACAAGAACATAACGAATATTGATGCCCATGGTTAGGGTCATAAATGATCCGAATAATTCCATAGCCTAGTTTTGTAAAGGAATTGAAATCCATCGAGTAGGCTCGACTTAGCTTGAATAAATTTTGTTTGTAAATAATTCTAATATTATTTTCTCCGAAAGATGGACAGTTCCAAACTTTACCAGAAAAAGCTCTAACCCATATACTTGTCATGTCCTCTATTTTCTAATAGGTTTTAAAAAAAATTTAAACTTCTAGAATTAGATATTATGTTTTGACTATAAAGATTCTAAGAGATTTTATTGATAAGTGATTATTTTAGGATATGTTTTTTTTTTAATTTTTTTAAATATTGTTTAGAAATTGAGTTTGGACGTGACTTGAGTTCAATAGGGAGCTCGCAAGTTTATGTTGAATTGAATTTGAATAAGGATTTAAGATCAATCCTCAAGTTTAACTCATTACAATCAAACTGAATTTGAACATACTCAAACTTGACTAATCTAACGAAAATCTACTACCCCACATGTGATCTGGAGTGTAGATATATATTTAATGTTAAGGGAAGGAAGCAAGAGAATATCTCCATGTTTAGTAAGGATAACATTTCTTTAGGCTTTCCATTTTGCTATGTCCAATGATTGGAATTGTTGTAGGTTTTTATACCAAGTGCAAGGCTTGATTAGACACCACAAAGAACAATGTGCTTTGTATTTCTGGTTTATTTAGTAGCTTGAGAGAGACTAATTAGTCTGCTAAACAAGTTAACATATATATTAAGCAGGTTTTTATAAGGCAAATGCTTCTTCCACTAAGCTTTTAATATGCATTTGAAGGTCGTCTTTCAACGTTAACCATATAATTAGGGAAATCTTCTGCCCTCAATCTGCTGTCGGCTCTAACTTAGTGGCATATATCCTAAGTTCGTACAAACTATAAATATACATATATATATATATATATTTATATATATAGAGAGAGAGAGAGAGGAAAAGGAAGAGATACAGGGAGAGAGATGTTTAGGTCCTATAAGGGTTCGCAAGGCCGCCGGACTATTGCCTCTCTTCGTCTTTTTGACTAACCACTGCAAGTTTATTTATTTGGAACTCTAAATCCTTAGTTAAAAGCACAATAGGTAGACATTTTATTTTCACATTCATTAATTATTGGTGGTGCACAAAAAATATTTATGTATAATCAATCAATGGATGAACTAAGAAGGACTCAATTACAGAGATTTAGTGGATTCGGTCTGGGTGACCAATTCCATTGGGAAGGACTACGGTGATCGAAAAATCTTATT